CGGTATCAAATAAAACATGCACCCAAGAATTGTATAGTACTAAATTACCCTCGATTATAGACGGGTCCGCTTCTTCCTCTTGCAAGGCGAAGATCCTGCCGGTTGCTCTTTCCTGGTCCCTTATGAAGTTGGGTCTCCTTTCCACAAGCTCCAAGTCCTCTTGAATTCTACCTCCCCTCATTTTGAGGTCAATGTTGTGCCGATTATTTCCACAAAGATGATCAGGCTCTTCCAAAATTTGATTCTTGATAGGGTTCGGGATTTTAGCCACGGTTACTAGTCCATTCTTAAGGTTTCGATTTCCTGGTACAGTATTTCTATTATTGCTTGCAAGCTCATGTTATTACTTGTCTCGAAGTATGGTCCATCATTTGTTTTTCTTTGAATGGGGTGAGGCGTAAGTCAAATTCTAACTACAGAGGCAATTCCTTATGGGTAAGCAACTAATCTTAAGTTAGAGTTTAATTATCCTAGGGTGTTCACACAGCAAAACTCCATGTATACATAATAATAATTACAAGATTCCTAAAATTGGATTGAAGTGGAGACGAAAAATACGAAGCAGTTATGGTGACAACATCAGGATTAACTGAAATATGGATGAATGGTATGATGTTATGGTTTCGAACTTCAATATGATCAAGGTTATAGATGTAGTGACTAAACTAGATATTTAACTTGAAACTGCGTTGGCCATCCGCGTTTCAAACTAAATATCCAAGATTCATCACTGAGCAAAGAAAATGAAATTATTTACAAGAAGCCTTGAGCTAAACAAAATATTCAAGGGTCAAGGAGGTCAAATTTACAAATAGTGGTATATAAAACAAGACTAGATGGACAAGACTAAGTTTTGGGAAAGGGTGACATTGAATAAAGGCTATGAATACAAGATGGGGGCACGACAATCGATAGAAGACGCGTAGAACTAATAGTACCCCCCTACTGCGCGATGAGGCCGCACTCAAAGTTAAAACCATTTCACGATCCTGAAGTAAGTCCTCATGAGTTGATCTTGGCGTGCCCGAAATTCGAAGAAATTTCCTAAGATAGGTTAAGAAAGATTCTAACATAGTCGGGAAAGGTAGTCTCTAACCGTAGGTCGGAACGCGTGGGTAAGGGTTGAACCTAGGCTCTGATACCAAGTTGTGATGCCCCGATTCTACACTATAGGTTGCAGTCAAGGGAGAGTCACTAGTGAGTCCTATGGCCAATAACCAAGTAAGATCCCAGATCGCCGGAGGAGTCAAAATAGCCTCCCTTCTAAGTCCAGCTTTCTTAGGCAGCACACTACCTTTTTGACAGATCTTACAAGACATTGACACTAGGTCTCATAAGCAACGGTAAGCTTCATACATAGAATATAGATACATAACAACCACAATTATACTTGATTCAAAAGATTATTCCATTACATTACATCCCAAAAAGAAAGTTTTAAACTTCGCATGAGTCTTACAAAATATCCAAAAGGAAACTTCTAATATTCTAGGATAGCCAAAAGTCTTCAAAGGTTTTAGGTTCGACGTCTCCAGCTATGAGTTCCTCTTCGTCACCTGGCATGATACGCCGTGAGCTTTGAATGCCCAGTAAACACGCACACACACCCCACCCCTTTTTTCCAGTCCAATACACAGTCACAATTATAACATCAAATAGTAAAGCAAGATATTCAAATAAATAAGTAAAGAGTTAGGTCAGATGTTAGCAAACTAGAAATCCCCCAAAGAGATTTCGTCCTCCCAACCACAAGAATCGGACGCGGATTATTCGGTATGCCCCCTCTTGTGCTGCTTTGTTGCAGAACTAACCTCTGATGCCTACCAACGGTTATATACCGTGTAGCGCCAACCGCAAGGCCTAAAAAGAGACGGTAAAATAGGGCCTTGCCCGAATCCCTCCTCACACCAAACCACCTAGGGTCCGAATACAACCGCTCCGTTCAAGGGTTCCGAAAACCACTTGCGCAAGACTTTAACTTCCAAATAGGGAACGCATCCCAACAATCCATATATCACATATTCTCATCTTTTCATTCTCAAGCGATCGAAAACCCAATACCCTGCCAATTAGGTTTCCCGTTGGGTTAAATGTTTTACATCAAGGTTAGTCTAACTTACAAGACAATAATATCCACATAAGCATGCATCAATAAGGTGAAGAAGATGAAGAACATAACGTAACACATACAATATTATGCAAAGTTATGATCATAAGCTAATAAACATTTTCATGAATACAAGGGCATAAAACATCCATGCATAACAAAATTTCCAGATTTAATATCACATAAAGATTAAAATGAAAGGACTATTTTAGATCTTCCACCGGACTCGGTCTTCCTATGGTTCGTAGAGAATTTGATCTAGTTCCTAGAATACTTTTCAGAAATGGGATTGATTTTCCGGATTTTAAGTTATTTAGAAAACTTTCCAGCGCTGTCTGGATTCTGTCCAGAATCTGCCCAGATCTGTCGACTGTTACGAAAACTTGATTTTATTGCAAACCGCTTAATGTTTTTCGATGAAAACAATTTTAGTTGAAAGCTAACTCCTTAAGGAAGGTTTTGACATAAAATATAGGTTCAGAATATTTTTGTACATTTTTCTGGAATTTTTGAAAGTTGACTGCAAAAACAGGTTTTAAGGTAGAATGCCCGAAAGAAGAAAATTTATAAAAAGGGGGTTCCACCATGGAAAAGTTTCATTTCTTTTGTGAGGAAAACATGCTAACTATCCCATGTTTAACTCAGAAAATTTGTTTGAAAGAGTACCCTTGAAAAGTTGAGAGATTCGTACAAAAAGAAGATGGTTTGTGCCAAAATGGGGAAAATACAAGAGAGATGGACTCCATACTCAAATCTTAGTATTTTAACATAAAAACTTGATAATAACAGATCTGGAAAACGTTATTTAGGATCTTCAAAAACATGCATTAGAAAAGGAAATGAAGAGAAGGTTGTGTTTGTGGCTTACCTTCCAAACTTTGCACAAGAAACTCTTTTCTCCCTCCCTCTTCTCCTCTAGACTTCTCTTCCTTGCTCTCCCCCCCTCTCTCTAACCAAAATGTGTGTGAGTGAGTGTGTTGTGTGTATGTTAGCAAGCTAGGGAGGGTGTGGTATATATAGGCAAATTGGTGGCAAAAGGACATAAAAGCCCTTTAGTTGGAATTGGATGGAAAGTTATGATTTTTCTTGAATTCTAAAGGAATGGAAGGGACTTAGGAGGTGTATTCCATTGGTTTAGGCCACATCTAGTTGTAATAAAACTAATTCTTGGATTTTGTATCCTAGGTAGGTCACTAGGTTGTATATTTTCCTAGAATCTCATAATGGTGTTTCTTGGAATTTGATTTCTCACATTCTCCAAGGAAGGGCAGCCATAGGGAAGTGTGGAGGGCAAATTCTTTATTATTTTATGTCCTAGGGTACACTCTTCAAGATGTATACATATATTTATATTACATGATTGATGGTACTTCAAGGTACAAGGTACAAGTACTAGTTTTGGGGTAAGTTTAGAATTTAAATAAAGAATTGAGGGCTTGGAATTAAACTCATGTATTGGAACCTTACTTATGTATAATTAAATTAAATTAGGCTAAGGAACCTAATTAGGCTAGGATATTCTTGTTCCGATAAAAATTAAAAATGCTAACTGGCAAGATTCGAAATAATTTAAGAAACTAAGGGGCTTTAAGAAAATAATTCAAATGCATTTTTTCCGGGGCTTCACATTAAATGTAATGAAATGAGGAGGATTAGAACCTTAATGATGTATTTAATTATGATCCAGTTAGGTCTAGGACTAATGTAAATATCTTAGAAGTACACACATAAATATAGCAAATCTTTATAGGTACCAAAGTCATTATTGCTTCAAGATTTCAAGAGATTTTAAAGTACAATGATTATAGTCTAGGGGGGTATGATGGCTAGCCATGGGATGGTGAATTGATGGACATGTTAGATATATATATATATATATATTTGTACAAATCTTGGAAATTGTAAAATATATTAAAAAAGATTTAAGTGTATATATATAAATATATAATAGTACTTGTTTGGGGTCAATTTGTGATTTAATAAAGATGTGAGGGCTTGGGTTCAATTAAAGTATCTATTCCAAGTGTAAAATAATTCAGTTTGTATTATCTTGCTTTGAATTTAAAGGTAAATAACCGAACGATGGCTGTAAAAATCGAAAGGTTTAGAGCGATTAATCTAAAATTTGAGAGTTAAGTAATTAATTTTAGAGTGTTAGAAGTGATTTCTAAGCTTCCAGGATCGATTAGGGTTTGTACGGATTCGCCCGTGATTCGTTTTCAGTCCTAGGGCTTAATTTGTGATTAATCGACGAACTAAGGGCTTTATTATAATAATTCAAAATTTAGGGACCTAATAAGGTTTAAAAAAGTCAGGGGCCTCGCAATGACTATGACACTATGTTGAGTTTCTCTCTTTGTGATTTTCGGCGTCCCTCCGACAATTTTTCATCAACTTTCTAACGAGAAATAAAAGTACTTTCAAAGTGTAAATTTGGATTTGTTATACTTAGGAAGAGGTGTTTGAGAGTTTCTTTCCCAATTTCTAACATAGATTTTTGAATTTTTAATACTCATAATGGTCTCCTCCCTACTATTGTGGGTGTTCTTCTTCTTCAACTTTGGCTTCCGGCGATGACCAATGAACAAGAAGGCAGTGACAGAGTTAGGCAGCGGTGACAAGGACGACGACAACAATGGTGACGACGGGGTTGAACTTTATTTAAATGTATATCTTGTTCTTTCAAATCACATTTATGAGAAGATTGATGATTTCTCATATTATACCTTTTTTTTCTTTTTTTTCTTTTTGTGGAATTTGTTGTTTGTTGTTATAGTTTCAGTAAGGTTTCTTGTCTGATTTTTTATATTTTTTTATAATTATTCTGTATGATATTAACTTTTATTTTAATATAAAAGATTTTGTGTAAGATTATATATGGTGTACAATGCACACTCAAAATTTTTCCTCCATATATCATGTAATACAGAGAAGAAAATAGATATACCACCGTTCAAGGAAACCAGGTTGGCTCCGTGGTGGTGGTGGAGCAGTATACTGAGGTGGCGCCGTTACTGGGGGGCCTTGATAATAACCTTATTTCACAAAAAATAATAATCAATAAATAAATCAATTATTAGAAATATGAGAAAGCCTATCGGGTCCATCCTTCAAAGGTACATATCATATATATCTTATCATAAGCTGGTGTTAAATTAGTGTAATTTTATCATAAATTTTGGTAACATCAATTATAAAATATATAATTTTGTCACAAATTAATATAACAAAATGTTTAAAATTTTATGACTGACATAACTTTATCATGAATTTTTGTGATATCAATCACAAAATGTATAACCTTGTCATAAATTAGCATAACAAATTGTCTAAAATTTTGTAATTGATGTTATAAAAATTTATAGCCTAGTTACGACATTTTTTTTTTTATGTCAATTTGTGGAGTTACGCATTTTGTGATTAATATGATAAAATTTTATGGGTGTCTAAAATTTTGTGATTGGAATTATAAAAATTTATGATTTAGTTACGACATTTTTTGTTATCTCAATTTGTAACGAGATTATACATTTTACAATTAATATTATAAAATTTTATAATAAAATTACACAAATTTAAGATACGATACTGAGAGGGTAATTTGTGAGCAAATTGGGCCGAGCTAGGACGAGTCTTCTTTGGAAGTTGGGCTGCGTAATGGGCCAAGGAGATATTTTGTATTTTGGCTTTGGGCCGAGGTAGGTACTAGGACGGTTGGATGCATTGCTGGGATTGGGACCTATTTACCTTCTGACCGGGATGATGGCAGGGCGATGGGCCGAGCTAGCTGTAGCTCAGCAGGATACCAACTTGTAGCATGGTCATCACGGCTCGCCCATGTTGAGCACGGAGCTGGGGTAACATCAATGGCTAGGGCCGAGCTGTGTATAACTCGGCAGGGTGGCATTCGATAGATCGGCTTTCGATCACACGGTCCGAATGGCAAGGGACCGAGATAAGGCAGTTCGGTCAGGAATGTATAACTGAGGTAAAGGGTTCAGCCATCTCACTTGGCTTGCAGTGATGAGACTCCTAGGAGGACTTTGTTAAGAAGAGTTAGAGTCCTACTAGGATTGTGCAAACCATTTCACTTGGTTGGTAGTGAGTAGGGTGTGTGATTCCTAGAAGGATTCTTATAAGGAGAGTTGAAATCCTACTAGAATTGGGCCAAACCAAGTCTATAAAAGCTCATGACTAGACCTATGTAGAGGTATCCCAATTCTTACTCTAGAATACACATAGCTTATTGTCTATTGTCTTGTTTCTGACTTAGGCATCGAATAGGTTTCCGGCACACACCCGTCGGTTAGCTCACGTTTGTATTTTCAGGTGGCAAAGCGAAGATGTTTGGAGGAGTGCAAACTTGATCAACAGGATTATACGAGAAGATTATTTTGTGCTCGTACAATTGGCGCCATCTGTGGGAATTTCACAAAGAGCAAAACCTCTTGATCAAGTTCTCCTCTCTAGTTGAAAGCAATGGCGCACAATGAAGACTTGCCACAATCTACTATTGGTAGGCAAACACCAGAAGGGGGTAGAAGGCGCGAAGATTTACCTTCTATCCCACCCATGGCGGAATTAGATCCCCAGCGAAGTGTAGACACCCCATTTTTGACCGACCTCAAGACTTGGACGTCATCGTTTGAACATTCGGTGATCATCCTTGTTCGTGTTCGTCTTGAGTTCCCGGAGGTCTCGACTACGCGCCCTGCCTCAGGATCTCTCGACTCGACTGTTTTGTGTCTGGTTTTGTACCAAACACTTGTTGTTTTGCTTCTGAGGGTGGGAAGTAGCTTGTAGGCCATCCCCACACCTCACCGGCCGTGGCTTGAGGCCACCGGCCTTGTTTCCTTGCCACCGGCCATTGGTGATGGCCGGTCGGCACTATTTATGGTCGGTCGGCATTGTGTTTGGTCGGCCGGCCACTGTTTCTGATCAATCGGCCACTTTTCCTAGCCGAGACCTTTTCTTGAGGGAGCTTGACCCTCTTGAACCTTTTTTTAGCTTCTTGAGGAAGCTTGAACCATTTTAGCTTCTCCAAGAAGCTTGACCCCTTTTTAGCTTCTCCAAGAAGCTTGACCCTTTTTTTAGCTTCTCCAAGAAGCTTGACCCATTTGCCTAGCTTCTCTAAGAAGCTTGGCCCTTTTGTCACCCTTTTGAACCTTTTTTTTTTAGCTTCTTGAGGAAGCTTGAACCATTTTAGCTTCTCCAAGAAGCTTGACCCCTTTTTAGCTTCTCCAAGAAGCTTGACCCTTTTTTTAGCTTCTCCAAGAAGCTTGACCCATTTGCCTAGCTTCTCTAAGAAGCTTGGCCCTTTTGTCTAGCTTCTCCAAGAAGCTTGGCCCTCTTGGTTTCTCTATATAAGGAGAGCCTCTCCTTCCATTAGAGAGGTTAGAAAATCTGATATATAAGACATATATATCACTCTCTCTATATATCTCCCTCTCTCTCTACATTTGGGTGGGTTAAAGGGTCCAAAAGGGTCTAGTTCTTGGCCATTTGAACTACACCTCCTAGCACAACACTTCCATCATCACTTGGAGGTTCTTGGGTATTGTTTTCAGAGGTTGAAGGTTGCATTTTTGGGTCTAGAGGCTGCTGTCCCCTTTTGGCTACAAAGGTAACCCATTTTCCCTCTTTATTTCCCGTTTTTGCACACCCTTTTAGCCTGTCTTGCTTGCTGATTTGAGCTTTGTGTATAACATAAAAAAGTTCTGTTTTTTTGTGTTTAAGATACTTCATTAAGGACACTTTTGTGTTTGGGGTCGTTTACCCCCTCTTAGGCCTTGTTTGGCCCCATTTTGTGCTATTTTTGGTGAACTTCGGGACCACCTTGAGGGATTTCAGTGGTGAGGATGGTGGTTTAAGGTCCTAAGAATGAGAGGGGTGACCCTCTCCCTTGTTGCCTTGTTTGTTGCCCTTTTTGGCCTTCCAAAGGGGCTCCTATTTGCATGCTTTCAAACCTTGTTTCAAGCATTTTTTCAGTGGGTTTTAGGACCCCCATAAGCCATTTCTAGAGTTGATTTGGTCTTGCTAAATGTCTATCTTGCATGTGCTTAATAACTCCTTGCATGGCCCTCTAAAGTAACTCATCATTTTTGCATGCCATGGTTGTGTATCAGTGGTTATTTGGGCCTATTTTCACATGTTTCATTCACTAATTTTTGATGGTTTGGTGAGATTCCATGTGCATCATACACTTGTTTTGTATTCCTTTATTTTGCCTAGAAATGCATCTTGCCTTTGGACCACCATGCTTGCATATTTTGGCTTAGCTTTGTGAAGTTTTTGGTCATATTTTAACATGCTTAAAGTCTGTCTTGGGTCTTTAGATTCACATTTTCCATGTTTAGTATAGCCCCTTTGCATTTTGGCTTGTTGGCCTTAAGTGTGTGAGTATGTAGCATGCTTTACTTGCTTCATTCTAATGATTTGGCATCATTTATAGCATAATTTCAGACCTTATAGCATGCTTGTATGTTTGCTTTGGACACATCTTTGAAGCTTTGGAAGCTTGACTTGCATGCCCCATGTTTTGGTCATTGTGCATGCTTTTGATTTTGAGCCATTTAGATGCCATCTAGCATGGCGGTGGCGGTGCACTTCCAAGCAGGACCGAGCATGCATTGCATCGAGCTCTCCTCCCGAGGTGATTTATCTGTTTTCCTTATATTAGTTAATTTGCTTAGCTAATTAGATTGTCTGTAATATTTAATTAGCTTGTTGTAGCACGCGCCCGTGAAGGGGGGGGGGCCCTCGCTACTACAGTTTGGACTCTCGATTTTTGTCGCGGTTCTTAATCTTGAATCAAAGAGTCCAAATCC